GAACTCGATGATGCCGATCCCGAGTCCGTGGAAGAACGCCTGGGGAACTACCGGTTGGCCACTGAGCGTGCGGTGGGAGAGCTTCAGGCGAACAGGGACCGGCAGAACGGGTTGAGAAGCAGCTTGGAATTGCGCGGGGAGCAGGGACTGCAGACTGCTTGCGACGCGGCTGTCACCCTGTTGAGCCACTTGGAACGGGAACATGTTGGTGAAGAGGCCCGGGCAGAGGCTGCGCGGGTGTTGCGAGACACGTTTGCCAAACATCGGGAGCAGGCTCACCAACGCTACATCGGGCCCTTCAGGGAATCCATAGAACAGCTCGGGCGCATCGTTTTTGGGCCTACGTTTGAGGTGGAGATCGACCGGAATTTGAATATTGCCCGTCGCACGCTGGACGGGGTCACGCTGCTTGTCGAGCAGCTGAGCACCGGGGCTCGTGAACAACTCGGTGTGATCTCCCGGCTGGCCTGCGCAACCATAGTCAGTCCTGAGGACGGTGGGGCTCCCGTGATGATTGACGACGCATTGGGGTGGAGCGATCCTCAGCGTCTTCAGGGTATGGGTGCCGTCATTGCAGCTGCAGGCAGGGAGTGCCAGGTGATCGTGCTCACCTGTACGCCGGGCCGATACTCCCACGTGGGGAATGGGACGGTTGTCTCGTTGTAATTGGGGTGGCGGAACCTGTTTTCAGAGCCTGTTTTCAGAGCCTGTTTTCAGAGCCTGTTTTCAGAGCCTGTTTTCAAGGAGAGTGGTGCCCTGCCAGTAGACCACCACCATTCTGAGCGGAGATTGGCGTGTTGGCTGTAGGGAGGGCTGCTGTCACGGTCTTGAGTTTCTGCCGGGGGCCCGGTGGCCCACGGTCCTCCGCCTCGCTTTCCGCGCACAGAACTTGGCAGTAGTGCATCCGGAGGGCCGCTGTGGCTGGCTCAGCTATGAGTTGTGTCGTCTCGGGTCCAAGTTTCCCTCTCCCCAAATGGTGCGGACGAGTTGCTGGTCATCAGCCTGCGCCTGATTGACTCGAGGCTGCGCTGCAGGCTTGGCGACCGCAGTTTGCGTTCAGTTTGCGTTATGGTTGGAGTCCAGGACGGCTGGGACCTCGAATGAGCCCTCTCCCTGCTGCAGGAGGGCCGGGCAGGGTATTGGTGACGGGTCTTCTCGACCCGTCCCTAGTCACCACTGGACAAACATTGGCATGACTACGTGGACGTAATCATCACTGTCGGTGGGTTTGAATACGCCTGGGCTGGAGGATGTTGTGGTCTCAATGGCGATGCGGCCGCGTTCCAACACTGACAGGACGTCCAGCAGGTAGCGGCTGTTAAAGGCGATTTTCCCCTCTTCCCCCTCCAGTTCGGCCACGTCGACGACGTCCTCGTTGTCGCCAACCTCTTCAGAGCGGGCCGATATCATCAGCCTGCCGCCGGACTCCTCCCCGTCCCCGTTGGGCTGCACGTGCATGCGGATGATGTTGGAGCCATCGCGGGCGAATATTGCAGCAGTGCGGGCCGCTCGCAGGGTCTCCTGAAGGTCAAGGATAGCCCTTGTTGTGTAGCCCTGCGGAATGAGCTGGTCATAGTTGGGGAAGGTGCCCTGCAGCAACTGGGAGACCAGTTCGACGGTGTCGCCGCCCTGCAGACGGAACATCACCTGTCCCTTCTGGGGCGTGAGCATTATGTCCACCGGTTCAGAGTTATCGCCCAGGAGCCTCTGCAATTCGTTCATGGTGCGCGCGGGGATGATGACGCTCATCTCCTCCGGCGTTGACTGCATCAACTCGCCGTGCTGCACAGCCAGACGGAAGCCATCTGCCGCGGCCATGGTGAAAGCGCCTTCGCGCAGCTTTACTTCGACCCCGGTGAGCACCGGACGCGATTCCTCGGTGGCGGCGGCAAATGCCACTCTGGAAATAGCGGTTCTGAGGGCCGACGGCTGCACCTGTGCGACCACAGCGTCCTCTATGGTTGGGATGGGCGGAAACTCGGAGGCGTCGGTACCATTTATGTTGGCCTGGGACCGGCCCGACTTTATCTGAAGAACGCGGGAACCCGGCTCCATCTCGATGTCTATCCGGTCGCTGCCCAGCGAACTGACAAACTCGGTCAACAGGCGTGCCGGAACTGTCACCGACCCCTCTTCCTCGACCATCGCACCCACCCAGGTGGTCATGGAGATTTCCAGATTGGTGGCTGACAATCGAAGCATGCCGCCATCGGTGGACAACAGCACGTTCTGGGTAACTGGCAGCGTGGCCCTGGTGGCGACCGCCCGCCCAAACCACACCCAGACCCCTGGTCAAATTCTCCTGCAAGCACGAAATTCTCATCGTTCGCCCCTGAAACCGGCCTCACCAGCCGCCCTGTTTTTCATTACTGCCAACTTTTCAATTGGCAAGCCATTATATGCCAAATTCGTGCCTTGTGGCACACGGACATAAGAGGCGCTGCAGGGCAATCGCGTTTCAGCGGGATCCAGCTTTGTAGTGATATTTCATTGCCATGGACCAGTCCATCTCAGTTTGATTTCTCTTCTGAGCCGGGTCGGAAGGCTGGGTCTGAATTCTCAAACGATGCGGGCACACCGGTTGGTTGGCCGGACACATGCCTCGGGCTGTGGCGTGGGAATTTTGGGACAGAATATTTGGCCCTTTTCCCCATTCCGTCCCATTTTTCCCATTTTCACCCGACCGCCAGCTACGAATTGGCCCGCGGGTGGCATAAATTTCATTTCAGGTCCCATTCTGTCCCATTGTGTCCCACTGGGCTTGTCCGACCAGGCGACGCAGCCGTTGGGATGCCTTGAAGGGCGTAATTCGGGGATCATGCACAGGATTCATGGTAGGGGCGCGTCATGAGGCTTGGCAAGGAGCAAGTGTCATCAAAACGCGATTGCCCTTTGAGGCGCTACCAGACGGGACAGGACCGATTCTAAAATTTCGTCTGATATAATACGGCGACCTTGGAGCGAACGTCATGACTGACTTGCTGTTTCACAACCACAGTTATCTTCGCGAATTTGACGCCACTGTAACCGGCGTGGCGGAAACTGGCGTGGCACTGGATCGCACCGCCTTCTACATCGGCGGTGGAGGACAACCAAGTGACGTCGGTATTTTGACCGCGGACGGGCGGGAGTACGGCGTGACCGGTGTCAAACGCGGCGGCGGCCTGCTTGTTCACTTGATAGAAGGCGATCGCCCCTCTGAAGGCAACCGGGTGTCCGGCAAGATTGACTGGGAACGGCGCTACCGGCTGATGCGCACCCACACCGCGCTCCACATTCTCTGCGGCGTTGTGTGGCGCGACTTCGGCGCCTTGGTGACCGGCGGCAACATGCAGCCAGGCGAAGCCCGGATGGACTTTGAACTCGAGCGAATGACCGCCGATTTCGCTGATGAGATCGAGGAAAAGATCAACGCAGAGGTGGCTGCGGCCCGAAGCGTTCTGGCGGCCAACCTCCCCCGAGAGGAGGCGGAACAGATCCCGGACCTGATCCGCACCAAGATCAACCTGCTGCCCGCCAACATCCGCGAAGTGCGCACCATAGATATCCAGGGCCTTGACGTGCAGGCCGATGGTGGAACCCACGTCGACAACACCATCGAGGTGGGGCGCATCCGTGTGGTCGGCCACGAGAGCAAGGGACGTATCAACAAGCGTCTGCGCATCGCCTTGGAAGAATAGCGAGGACGCCCTTCTATGTCCCGGACCGTAGTCGGAATCGATGTCGGCGGCACGTTTACCGATATCGCCGTGCTCCAGGATGGTCGCCTGACCGTACACAAGCTCCCATCAACACCCCAGAATCCCTCCCTCGGCATTGTGCAAGGAGTCAACGAGGTTGGCATTACGGCGGAGTCTGCCGACTTCGTTCACGGCTCCACCGTAGCCACGAATGCACTATTGGAAGGAAAGGGCGCACGCACAGCGCTGGTGACCACAATGGGTTTCGAGGACGTGCTCGAAATCGGTCGCCAGAGCAGAGCCGAGCTTTACAATCTGGAGCAAGACCGCACTCCCACCCTGGCCCCGTGGGAACTGCGCTTCGGACTGCCCGAACGCGTAGACTACACGGGAGCGATACTTGAGGACCTTCAGCCAGCGGCCATCGAAGCGCTGATGGAACTTGTGGCACAGTCCGGCGCCGATGCGGTGGCTGTCTCGTTCCTCTTCTCATTCTTGAACCCAGTCCACGAGGAAATGGTCAATTCGGCCCTCAAGAGGCTGGAGCCCAAGCCGTTCATCTCGCTCTCATCCCAGGTACTGCCTGAATTCCGCGAGTTTGAACGCACCAGCCTGTGTGTCAACTGCACCCCTATGTCGGACAGGTGATGAGCCGCTACCTGGGCGAACTTGAGCAGTCCCTGGGCGACGGGCTGAGGATCATGCAGTCTTCTGGCGGCAGCATCACGGCCCGCCTTGCCGCTGAGTCAACCGAAGCACCGGGAGTAGCGAGTGCCTGCTCATTCTGAGCGACGGCGGGAGGCGTGGTCGGAGCATTTCACGTCTCGTCGCAGGCCGGGTACCCAGACATCATCACGCTGGACATGGGCGGCACATCTACGGACGTCTCGCTGTGCCCGGGGCGGATCAAGGAGACCGGCAGCTCCAACGTGGGCGGTCATCCCATCAGCGTGCCCATGATCGAGATTCACACTGTTGGGGCCGGCGGGGGCTCCATCGCACGGGTGTGGAAACGTGTGGGTGGGGGGGTTGGGGGGGGGGGGGTGGGGTGGGGTGGGGGGTTCGGCGTGGTCCTCGGTCGGTCCGCAGTCAGCGGGAGCAGACCCTGGGCCCGCCTGCTACGGCCGAGGCGACCAGCTCACTGTGTCGGACGCGAACCTGCTGCTGGGACGACTACGGCCTGACCATTTCCTGGGCGGACGCCTCACGCTGGACCTGCCACGGGCGCGAGGTCTGATGACGTCGCTGGCAGGACAGCTTGGTCTGGGCGAGCAGCAGGCTGCGCTGGGCATCCTGCGAGTGGTCAATGCCAACATGGAGCGGGCCATACGAGCCATCTCACTGGAACGCGGATACGATCCTCGCAACTTCACCTTGGTGCCGTTCGGGGGCGCCGGGCCCGTGCATGGGTGCGATCTGGCCCAGGAGTTGGGCATTCCCCGAGTGCTTATACCGGCGCGTCCGGGCATCTTGTCGGCTTTGGGCGTAGCAATCGCCGACATAGTAAAGGACTACTCCCGCACAGTAATGCTGCGGGGCAGAGACTTGAAGCGCACCAGGCTGGAAGAGGAATTCCACGGGATGGAGGGACTGGCCCGAGCCGAACTGGAACAGGAAGGACTGCCCGTAGATCGGATGGGGGCCCGCCGTTTCCTGGACGTTCGATATGTGGGCCAGTCCTTCGAACTGACCGTGGATTACCCGGCCTCGCGCAGCTCTCGTTCGTCGGACGGGCTGGCCCGGGCCATATCGGACAGTTTCTATCGCGCTCACCTGCAGCGCTTCGGCTACGCAGATCGGAACGAACCGGTTGAGATAGTTAACCTGCGGCTCAAGCTCGATCTGGTGGTGGACAAGCCGGATCTCCTGCTGGACGCGTCCGCGGGTTCCGGTCTCGCGCGGGCCGAGTTAGAGAGAGTCAACGTGGTTTTCCGTGAGGGAGAGCTGGAGACGCCGCTTTACGACCGAGACCTGCTATCGTCAGGCGACCGCGTCGTCGGCCCGGCCCTGATCGTGCAATTGGACACGACAACCGTAGTCCCGCCCGGCTGGGCGGGCGAGGTCGATACCTCCGGCAACCTACTGCTGACGATGGCGTAGAACGAAAGTGAAAAGGAATTGCGATGGCTCACAGCAGTAGCTCACCTATCCTCACTGTCCTAGCCGTTTTCGCGCACCCAGACGACGAGGGGTTGGCTTGCGGCGGCGGCTGCAGCGCTTGTCGCTGTGCACCGGTTCACGCTGCCATTTGTCCACCACGGCGACGTGGGCGAGATCAGCGATTCGATGTTGGCCACGCCCGAAAACCTGTGGCAGGTCCGACAGGGCGAGTTGCGGGAGGCGATGGACGTTACTGGCATAAAGGACGTCCGGTTCTTGAATTATCGCGACTCCGGCATGGTGGGATGGGAGGACAACAACCATCCGTCCAGCCTATTCCAAGCTCCCGAGGGCAGAGTGTGTGGAATCGGGGCGACGTCTACGCGAGTACGCCGAACATTGTCATCACCCAACACACCGACCAGCCAACAACCCCACGGGAGGATACGGCCACCCCGATCATGTGACCATCAGCGAGAGGACCAGGGCAGCGGTGGAACTCTGCCGCGAAGAAGTGGACCCCTCACTCTATTATGTTTGCTTCCCTCGCAGTTTCTTCCAGCGCATGTGGAACAAGATGGTGGAGTTGGACTTACGCCCGCCGTTTTCCGCCGACGATACGGAAGCGCTGGGCACGCCCGACGACGAGGTGACCACCGTGCTGAACGTTGGGCAGTATGTTGCCGTCAAGAAGGAATCGCTGGAACGCCACCGCACCCAGATCGAGAAAGACGGTCCTTTCGCGAGACTTCCCCGAGAATTCATGAACGAGATAATGTCCAGCGAATTCTTCAGCTGGCCCTTTCACCCCATTCAGAGGAGCGGGACATACTTGCCCAGCTATCCGTGGGCTGAACTACCGCATCCTCCCATCGAGGTGCCCTCTTGCCTGTAGACCCAGTCAGCCTCGAAGTTTTCAAGAGCATGTTCGAGTCGGTGGCCGAGGAGATGGGCGTTGCCCTGCAACGCACCGCCTACTCGCCGAACATCAAAGAGCGCCGCGACTTCTCCTGCGCCGTCTTCGATCCCGAGGGCAACATGGTGGCCCAGGCGGCCCACGTTCCTGTGCACCTCGGAGCATGCCGGCCTCTGTGCGCGCGGCGCTGGAGGTCTACCCCAACGCGCTGCGGCCCAGCGACATCGTCATCCTGAACGACCCATACCTCGGCGGTACACACCTGCCCGACATCACCATGGTGGCTCCTGTTTACGTGGGCGAAAAGGGACGGCAGCAGTTGGCCGGGTTCGTCTCGGCCCGAGGCCACCACGCCGACGTTGGCGGCATGACCCCGGGATCATTGCCTCTCTCCACCGAGCTTTACCAGGAGGGCACCATCATTCCCGCCGATCAAGCTGGCGAGGGGTGGGCGGCTGAACCACGACGTCATCCAGCTCATCTGCCGGAACTCGCGCACCCCGGACGAGCGCAAGGGAGACCTGGCAGCCCAGACCGCCTCCATTCGCGTCGGCGAGCAGCGAATGCGTGAGCTGTTCGAGCGATACGGTACGGAGGAGACATCCGAACACATGGCAGCCCTGCTGGACTATTCCGAGCGGGTCACTCGCCAGACCATACGGGACATTCCCGACGGCACGTACAGCGTCCTCGACTACATGGACGACGACGGCCTGACGCAGGAACCGGTTCCCATAAAGGTCACAATCACAGTTTCTGGCGACGAGATGGACATCGACTTCACAGGGACGTCGCCCCAGCGGCCCGGTTGCATCAACGCGCCGGTGGCTGTTACGGTGTCGGCCTGCCTGTACGTCGTGCGTTGCTTGCTACAGGCACAGGCCCCCGCCAACCAGGGCTGCCTGCGCCCACTGCACATCAACGCGCCCGAGGGGTCGCTGGTCAACCCCCAGCCCCAGCGGGGAGTAGCCGCAGGCAACGTTGAGACCTCGCAGCGCATCACCGACGTCCTGTTCGGCGCCTTGGCCCAAGCCTTGCCCCAGGTGATACCGGCAGCCAGCCAGGGCACCATGAACAATATGATCATCGGGGGCCACGATCCGGTCCGCGACAAGCCCTACGTGTACTATGAGACCATTGCCGGCGGTATGGGTGCCAGGCCAGACAAGGACGGCATATCCGGCATTCAGACCCACATGACCAACACCATGAATACACCTATTGAGGCGATGGAGTTCGCGTTCCCGCTCCGTCTGCGCCGGTACGCTATAAGGCGCGGCTCTGGTGGAGATGGCCTGTACAAGGGCGGAGACGGTGTGGTGCGCGAGGTGGAGTTTCTGGCACCGGCAAGAGTCACTCTGATGTCGGAGCGCCGACGGCGTCCGCCGCCCGGATATCACGGCGGCCACCACGGCGAAACGGGCGAGAATATTCTACTGCGCGGTGGAGTAGAGGAAGTCCAGCTGGCGGGCAAGGAAGTCATCGACGTCTTGGAAGGCGACGTGATCAGCGTACGCACTCCCGGCGCCGGAGGATGGGGCGCGCCGCAGCACCACCACGGCGACCAGCACTGACAATCTGGATGAAATTCGTTTCCCTCCTTGCCCTGTTGCCTTTATTCAGCATACTGATTGCAGGATGCGGGTCCGAAATCTCATCCGAGCCGCGGGAATTGCTCCTGGCGCCGAATGATTTCCGGAACAGCAGTCTGTCCGTCCTTTCTCTTAGCGAGGAGCAATCGCTGGACGGCCCTTCGGCGCAAGTGGAGCTGCAGGGTCCGCAATACCGGGTGCTGCAGAGCGTGGTGTTATATGAGGACCGCGAGTTGGCCTTATCCGCCTTGGACGGCATCCGCTCCGACCTCGTAAGCCGGGGTGAAGCGGGTCCGGGCGCACCTCAAACCAGCGGCGTCTACCAGCACATGTTGGGTAACGACGAGGCGGCCAGCCTGTTCTTTATCGAGGGCCGAGCTCTCGTTCGGCTGACTGTCACTGGGGACAACAGGGTGGAATCTCTGGATCAGTTGGCTGGACTCGCACGGGACAAGCTGGCGGGCGGATGATTTCTCAGCGTTGCAGAGAACTGGCATCCTGCCCCTGAATTCCCGATAGGGTTTCACCTGGCCATGTCTGCGGTTTCCCCGGTGCGCTGCTACCCTCTCCGTTAACAGTTTTCTCCCTCTCCCACGCCCATAGCGCTCAGAATAACCTGGGCTAAGTAGTAGCCTCCTAAGTACTAGACATACGCTGGTTTCGGGTTGAAGGGTCCATTCTGCCTTCACACGTGCGGAGCGTCGTCTCTCGTGGTTATCGGCTGCTCCGTTCGTTGCGTACTGCCGTATCCTCCACCACAACAGCAATGATCGGCCCGAACGCCTCTCCCGGTGGCAGCTCTCACGCACCACCCGGTAACACCTGCTGGCGGGTGATCCGGGGCAATCTTCTTTTCCCCCCAATCCTGCTGCAGGTCCCAGCAGACGCTCCGCCCAGCAGCACATGGCTATGTGGGTGATGCCAGCCTGCAAGCTCCGGTCTCGTATTCGTCAGCCAACGTCGCCTTTTCAGTCTCGACTCCGTTTCTATGCGCCACCTGGACCGCCCACGTATGCCAGAGTCTCCAAGCTGTGTCCTCCCGGTGCGTTGGCCAGGTAGTATCGAGGTTCGCTGCCGTCCAGGGTCCGGCGGTAGATCCGCCAGTGATTTCGCCGGCCTGCGCCTCCGCCGGGCTTGCGCCTCTTGTAACCCGCACCCGCTGGGCGCTGAACCGGTAGGTGCGCGGCCTTGGCTTCCCCCTGCCACCGTTATCTCCCGCCAGGCCTCCTCCGGCATCATCACCTCCTGCGCTGCTCCATGGTCCCGGCGCTGCCCATCCCTCGCTGGGTTTGCGGGGCGCCCGAACCTGATTGATTGCCGATATTCGGCTGGGTCCAAGCCGGCTCCAAAGGCCATGCCGTGTGCCGCCCGGAACGTCAGCACGTACCGCATACCCAGGCCGCCAGTCCCTCCCGAATGACGGCGACATCCCGAAGCGTCATCTCCGGCAACCCACCCGGCCTCCATATGGCCCAGTTCCTGGCCTGCGCCAGCATCTCCAAGGCCAACTCCGTCTTCGAACGGTAGCTGCGCTCTCTTCCGCCGGCACCCCCGCCGCCTGACACCGGGCATCGTCCGAGCCCAAACCTGGTGCAGGTAACAGCCGTTTGTCCCCAACGCCCGGCCGCAGCGGGCTGACGTAGGCCGGAACATCCCGGCCTGGCAGTTGGCCACCTTCCCCAGCCTTCGCAGTACTGCGGCCACCCCACCGATTTCCTCCCCTGCTTGGGAAAGTCGCTGCCGTCGAACACCCACACGGCCTCGGGATGCCCCAGCTTGGGGGCCAGGTATTCCTGCAACCACCCTATTACTGCGTCATCGTACCACCGGGCCTCGGTGAGAAAACGCTGCATCGCCCGGGCGGAGATGCCCACCGATTCGGAGAGTTCTCGCGTTGCGCCGCTCCCCGGCTTGCACCAGCAGGGCTTGAAGATAGTTCCGGCTGTGCTCCCGCCACTGCTTGCGTCCGAAGGAGTCCGCAAAAGGCGTGAAATTCCCTGAAGCTGTCGTAGACCCGTCTTGAAAGCTCGCCGCATCCATCACCCAAACCGCCCACTCATCATCTGGCCAGCT